AATTTTCTCATACCAGTACTCGTGTACCAAACAGCAAGTTACTGAATATAATACTTATTGGGATATCAGCTAAACAGTCGGAAAATACGGAAGACTTGCACGAGCCGTTCCACCGACGACCTGAACAGCGAGAAAAAGCGCTGCGGGGTGGGCAAAGGGCAGACTATTCTTGGTAACAAAGGCAGCAAAAAGAGCAATACAAATTGTAGAAAAGGAAATGCGGCACATTAATTCTTGGTCCGAACACAGATTCGCCATCCGAGGAGGTTGTTCATCCGGGCGTGACAGTCCAAGTGCTCGCGGGGCATTTCAACATACGTTCTTCGTCGCAGCGGCTAATTTCTTTTGGGACAACTCGTTGTGCTGTATGACATTTGGTCGCGCGACATCTGGGGAATCAAAAATTTTCGACTGGTCGATGGCAACGAACAGTCACATGACTGTTTGCCACAAAAACGAGTTGTCCTTAGACGAAATGTCCAAAACACCAAACGCCCCGCGAAGACCTGTCGCGTAGCCCATCCGGGACTGGCAACACAGATGAGCCAGCACAGAGCATCACTATTAAGAGATGTGGGCATTACTGGACGATTACAATGTCAGTGCAAAGCGCCGAATGCTACCTCTTCCGCGGCCACATTCCAGACGTCCTGATGGGCAGAAGCCACGTGCCAGACCATGTATTTCCGCGCAGACTCCCCCGCACCCATGAAGGCTTTGCCGCACGTCTGCAAAGCGCCAGCACGGTTACGTAGCCATTCCCACACGTGACAATACAGCGGAGAGAGAAACGAGATCGAGCGTACTTTACTTCCATCTCATGCGTCGCAACATTTATTTTCTCCCATAAAATTCAACCGAAAACGCGATAAATATCCTAATTAATTTTAACATTTTCCAATTGTCTAGGTTAGAATATGTATATACGTATGTATGTATTTCGATAATTAAAAGAAAACAAAAAACATTACCTCGACAGGACAAGTGTAGCGCAGCATAAACAGCTGCTTGTCCTTGTCAGTGTGCAGATGGTTGGTGAGGGCCTCTCCCATGCGGACGCAGGGAATCTTGTCCTCCAGCGCTTCCCGATTCTGCACAACAAACTTGTACACTGTATAATGTCGCTAACACGGATTGGTGTACTGTACAATACAGTACTACCGTACCAGGCGTACCTTCTGGGCGGCCTCCGAGTATTTCTTCTCTTTGCCCAGCAGCTCGGGGTGCAGCGCGTGGACGTGCGCTTCCAGCTGGTTATCGCCGGCAAACACAATTTCCTCACACACCTGCGAACAGTCATACAAACTCCGTCATCAGTCACGCAGTCTGTCTACGCTATCCTAAGAAACTTAATCAGTACAAGCAGGAGGGTCTGTTTGTAACCGGGAGAATCATATGCATTAAATTACGCTATTATTTTGACACAAAAAAAGACTGACGCGAATAAAATCACTGCGACTAAGGCACCAACACTTAGTTATAGTTAAGTTTGAAACTTAGGCGGAGAGTGTCCGGAGAACACGCCAGTGGAGTCAAAGGTACTGTAACAGAACACAGAAAGCAGGCGCTTCACCTCTTCGGCAGGGCATTTGTGGAAGAAGTTGGTGCCCAAATCGAAGCGGGACGCGTGCTGCATCACCAGGTGATGGTGCATTTGCCGCGAACCTTGCGGACCGCCTATCTTGTGATCCTGGCACGGATCGATGTTGCAGATGTACTTGATTTCACGTTTCCCGGGCTGCTGCACGAAACAACCGAGCAATTCAACAGCTAGCATAAGTAATCAACAACCAATTGCTCATTAACAACACGGCCATGCCTTGCCATCCACGTCGCCCATTTCCGTGCGAATAACGATCCGGTCCGGGATGATCTGGCTGGGGAAGAGCTCGTTCCTGTCATGCGTCCATCCCGGGAAGTACCTGCGGCGGGCGCGACGCAGAAACCTCTCCCGTTTCTGTCAATGACCAGCATTTCTTAAGTAGTCAACGCCATGATACACAAATGTCTCCCCGAACGACCATAACACGGCGCTCTTGCCCTACCTGGGCGATCTGCGGATCCTCGCCTGCCTTGGCGTCCACCAGCGCCGCACACACCGCTTCGTAGTACTTCCGGTGGTCCTCCCGCAGGTGCTTGCGCATGTAGATGTCGCCGGGATCAAAGCGCACCACCGGGCAACTCTGCCTGCCGTTGAACCGACCCGCACACGGGCAAACGAAATTCAGGACGACGTTGCGCAGGTCGTGCTTGGTCTGCAGGTGCGCCTTCAGCAAGCGCGGCTCGCAAGCGCGGAAGTCTTGGCAGGCCGCCTCCTGTCCGGCGTAGGGACACGGTAGCGGGTCCAGCATGAACTGCAACAACGGGCCTTCATTTAATCCTGGCACTAAATTATACCTGATTCATTTTGACTACAATCGAAACAATCGAAAATCGAAACTCAAATAATAATTGAATTCAACCATGAAATCAAAAAATCCGATAAGCAATTTAATTTAATGCAGCGACAGGCACCAGCTGCATCGAATTAAATATACGACTGAATTAAAAATAATTTCTTCCGGTTCAACCGTTCACTTATGAGTTATGAATAATACCTCACAACGTTGAACGTACGCCACTAACAATTACACAATCTCAACTGTCAATTAATTTATTTCAAACTCGACTGGTGCAAATTTGAGCTGCGATTCACCACAAAATTTGCCTATAATAAGCTTTAACAAAGAACACTTACGCTGACAGTGCCCATGACCAGCACGTGGTCGGTCGTTTTGGAGGCCCGCACGATGATTTTGTCCGGGATGCTGAGGTTGAGCTTCTTCACCTGGTAGTCGGGTCTCTTCAACGCGTCACAGAATCTCTGCAATAACAACAACGTCTAATTGCCTTACGAGGTTTTTACTTAGGAAACAGGAAGCCAGTGCTTCCACCAACAGAAACACATACAACTGACAAGACTACCAAACACTTGACTGGTACGAATTCACTGCGTACGCCGTACAGCTTTGGAGTCGTCAAACAGCTCAAACTGACAACAAGTATTCATAATAACCCCAACCTGTTCCATGTCTGCTGAGACATTTTTAAGGCGCTTCGCCGATCTGGGGTTTTGTCCCAACAGTTTCTCCTCCTCGATAACAGTCTGTTGCGGCTTGTTCTTCAAATGGCTGGTGTCAGGGGATGACTTGGCGGACGAGGAGCCATAATCGCTGTGAGATGCTCGGTCGACGGCAGCGTCGCTTGGCGAAATGCAGGTCCGCGCTTCTTCTCCAATTCCCTGATCAATGTGATCATCAGCGTCCTCCGCAGACGCCAACACGGTCGTCGAATCGGACATCGCGTCCATTGGAGCTGACTTCAAAGTTAATCAAATAGGGATATTACAGTACCACTTTGAACGAGCAGAAACAATCAAGAATTCTGGATGAAATCAATGAAATGAGCAAATTTCAGCTCTGCACACTGCACTGCAACTGCACAACGCATGGATCATGGTCCATCAGCCCAGCCTGACTTTAAGCCACTCCATGGCAGTGACTCATGCTAACGGAATGATCACCCGCACCGCCCCCAGATGGCAGCCCGATTCGGCTTTTGTTCCGCCAGTTCTTGAAATGAATCGAACTGCTCGATACAACTTATTTTATCTTCCCGTCCGATCTTGTGAGCTGTGGCTTTCTTTAGTCGTAGTACAGTACGTGTCGGTTATAAATGTCTGCTATGCAATAATGTCCGACATACGCACAACTGTGTCAACATCAACATGCGAGGAAGATGACGATCAGAGAGCAGAAGCCCGGCAACAAATGTCGGCGAGCACTGGCTCGACAGCTGCAGAGACGACCGATCCAGCGTCCGACAGCGTCGAGAGCTTGTCAAGTTCAGCGGACCAGTTGTCCCCAGAAAATGCCTGCCCGGATGAAGCAGCTCTGGAGGATATCTCTGTCAAATTTCCATCGAAACTGTACGGTGGACTGGCGGAAAGTATCGTTAAGGGGACGGCGGACGCGATGATGGTGAGGCAGAAGAAATGATTGATTTTAGTATTTGTAGCATTTTTAGGTCCTTGTTGCATTGCTGATGTGTGGTGTGCGCGCACTGCCAGTTCGCAGCAGCCCCAGCACCGCAGAAGCTTGCGGTCGCCGTTGCTGTGTTTCCGTTTGCTCGGTACAGAGTCGTCATTCAGACGTGCTGCTTTTATTATTTATTTTATTATTATTAATCATTAACTGAAAACATTAACTGTACTCTGTAGTCTGTACAGCTAATGTTTTCTGATTAAGAGCTGATTTTATTTGTTTGTAAGTTGAGTTGTTTGCTCGCCTGTCAGATCAGTTATCTCAGTAGACGGAAGAAGTGAGACAAAGACTGGTTGCAGAAGTACTGCACTGCGTTGCGGAGACCCGACTACAAGGCCAAAAAGCGTACGATCAGCATCGCACACAAGATCGTCGTTCGTGCTTCGAAAACCGCGAACCACGTGCTGGTCATGGGCACTGTCAACGTAAGTGGCGAAGCCGATTGTAATCGATCTGTACAAGTACAGCAGTACTTCTTAGCTTCTATCGAAATTGGTATTCGCGCACAGAGTATATTGTGTTACAGCGCTGGTAACTGTTTCTTCCCACGTTAACTCTGGAAAGGGATTTTTCATTCGGATGTTGCTTTAACAGACGAAGCTCTTTGTAAATTGACTCAGTACAATAATACAGTACAGTTAGTTTAATCGCATTTTGATCGATAAATTAATTTAAATTGATCTTTACTTCCGTTAAACTGAATTTTTGTTAAATTATCATCTGGTCTGCTGTTACTGCATTAGTCAAAACGAATCAGCTGTAGTCCAATGGAAAATATTCGATTTAAATGGATGCTCTGATTGAATGCAGTTTATGCTGGATCCGTTACCGTGCCCGTTTTCCGAGCAGCAGACGGCTTGCACAGAGTTCCGCGCTCGCGAGCCGCGTTTGCTGCAGGCGCACCTGCAGACTAAGCACGGCCTGCACAACGTCCTCCTGAACTTTGTGTGTCCCTGTCCGGCCCGGTTGAACGGCAAGCGGATCTGCCCGGTGGTGCGCTTCGACCCCGGCGACATGTACATGCGCCGGCACCTGCGGGAGGACCACCGGAAGTACTCTGAGGAGGTCTATGCGGCGCTGGTGTCGGCCGAGAAGGGCGAGGATCCGCAGGTCACCCAGGTGAAGCCAACGCACTGTGTAATGTGTTTACGGAGAGATTAGGCGATAATCAGCGCAACATTGCGAAGCACGAAATGAGCGGTTAATATAGTATGACTGCAGCATCTGTCATTGGCAGAAACGTCAGAATTTTATGCGCCGTACTCGCCGCGTGTACTTCCCGGGGTGGACTAACAAGAAGGGGGAGCTCTTCCCCAGCCAGATCATTCCCGACCGGATTGTTTTCCCGACGAAAGTCGACGAGGTGGGTGGCGACTGGCGAGGTGTGGCGACAGGGAACGTGTCATGTCAACGTGTCAAGCACTAACCCGGTTGTTTCATGCAGCACAAGCAAATCCGGTACATCTGCAAGATTGATGCGTGCCGCAAGGAGAAAGCCGCGAAGGGACACCGGTGCGCTCCCGGCAGCGTGCAGCATCACCTGTGGACGCAGCACGAGTCCCGCTTCGATCCGGGCACCAACTTCTACATCCAGTGCCCGGCTACGGAGGTTTGGAAAGCAGCGTGGTCAAGACATGCAGTCGGTTGGACGTACAGGGCAGTGTTTGCAGGTATGCCAGGAAATGGTGTACGCCGGTGATCATCAGCTGGAATCGCACGTTAAGGCGCTGCACCCCGAGATGCTGGGCTGGAGCGCGGACTACTCGGAGGCCGCCAAGAAGGTACGCAGGTCAATCAGCCTCGCTTCAGCGGCATAATATACGGTGTACGGTATTTGGGTTTGTTTGTTAGTATCGGAAAGCGTTGAGGACCAGATCCCCACTGCCCGCATCGGCGAGGCCCTCACCAACCACAGTCTGCCGCCGGACGATGCCAGCCAACTGTTTCTGCACTTTACAAGTGTCCTGTCGCGGTACAGCTAGCGCTTTTCTTTTAGACAGCTAGCGCTTTTCTTTAGTTTTTCTGGCTATTCAAGAAATTATACGGTAGTTAATGGAATTATGGAGCTATACTTATGGCTAATACTGTCAGTCGTATGTTATCCTTTTTGACTTCAATTTACGGGATAGCAGTTGGGTGGCGTAACGTATTGTTTTGCGATGAAAGTACTTAATGATACGCCCGATGCGCATTCTCGGTCGTTGTGGCCTTGTTGGGATGATCATCCTGGCGCTTTCCAGACATGCGACACGGCGTTCCGGGGGGAGAAGCGTCAGCGGGACTACATGGTCTGGCACGTGGGCGCCCAACACCGGGACGTCTGGAACGTGGCCGCGGACGAGCTGGAACAAGAGGTAGACGACACAGTCTATGCTTTCAAGCGCAGTACAGATATTTCCCTTTCCACCAGTACTTACCAACGTCCTGTGTTTTCGCAGTAATGCTTCGTGCTGGCTGGCTCATCTGTGCTGGCGGAGAAACGACTTGAGCTGCTCACGCACCTGACCAAGCGCCTGCTGTGCCGAATTTTGATTCCTACGAGTCATTTTATCATTTTTGTAGATATTTTCTGTATTTACGGCTCTCTTACGCCAATCTCGCGTTGTCCTGCTCGTCTATGGACGGCTCGTGCAAGTCTTTTATGTTTGCGGGTGTTTCTAGTTGTTTATACCTGTTATCGTACTAGTTATATAAATACAGTGCAAGTACTAATTGTCTGTGCCAGGATTTTGTTCTCCGCGGCTAACTTCTCTTCCGCCCATCCAGTTTTCATAGAATAACATTATAACAAATGTTGGAATCCTGTCCATCTCCGGATCTCGTACCGATTAGTGGAAATCCGCCTTTTTAACTCAGATATCCTCTGACTGTTTTAAATTCAACCATCAACAATGATTAGTAGTATGAGTATATGGTCACAAATGCGTAATAAGACTACAAATCACTAGGACAAGTCAACGTTCTCGAGAATTTGAACGAACTACGAAGCGTGAGGACTTGCGGCGTATGAAACGCGTTCTTCCCTCGTATGGGAATGTGAGACCGGGATCACTAGCGTTCACGTCAGTGGCGCTAGGCGCCACGCCTTTGGATTATGGCCTGTGTTGTGTCTCGCTTCTGATTGGCTTGTGTTTTGTCAGTGGGCGCGGCATAGCACGTGCTGCACAGCGTTGCACGCTGTTGAATGGGCTCCACGCTTTACGATCGAGCTGCGCCGATCAGTGTTGATTTTCTGATGTTCAGACTTTTCAATATTATTAAAAGTCAGCTATACGCGGTGCGACGTTTTGTGTTTCCGCATAGTTCGCTACACTTCCGCGTAGCTCACTCCACAGGATAGATCCCGTTTCTGTCTCTGTCTCTGGATCCATTCTGGATCTAGCATTAGATGGTAGCAGAGCCGACAGCGGTTCTCTGATTTGATTTGTGTCAGGCAAAGTTGGCCTGTTATTTGATGTGGAACTCGACCAGTAAGGCACAGGTCCGTCTAACAGCAAAGCGCACACCACAAGCGGTGAACAGCCTCATCTGACGCGGATTTCCAGCTTCGGTTTTCGGTACGGTATCTTCAGCGAAGAACCGTGCTGTTGCCCCAGCTGTGCAAGAGTGCAAGATTTCAGTCGCCAGTGTTCCTCGGTGTAGAGTCTTCAGCGAAGACCTACACTGGTGTCACTGGTACTCGGCAAGGATTCAGCGAATCCTAAGCCGTGGGGCAGAAGCGCCGAAACGCCGAAAGGGGCGTACGGAAAAGACCGATCAGACTCCTCCAAACTGGAGTAGAGCGCCACCACTGTTGCTACGGCAGTCAGCCGGCACAGTAACTTATTAAAAGCGTGCGGCACCACCGTTACGGTAAAACCGGCGGCAGCGCGGGAACGGACAGTGGAGAAGAATCTGGATCATCTGGATCATTTCCCCGTGGAACGCGGAACGGACGGACGGTTAACAGGTAGAAAACCGTTAATAATTACGAGATTGGCTAGTTGGTAAAATTGGCAATTTTTATTGGTCCGTACTGAGCTGAGTGTAAAAGTAGGCGGAGTTCTGCACGCGGCGCGCATGTCTGGCCGTTGACCGTGACGTCAGGCAGATAAAAATTCTTAACGGCTTAACGTGATTGGTCAGTTATCTGAGCTGTGATTGGTCGACATTTGAACTGAATATTTTGAGTTAGCGGACCAATCAGAACGAAGTAAACAACCCGAATGGGGATTTTCCGTTGAACTCGAGTCGTAATGGGAAATTTGATTTAAGATGAGATAACTGAGCGGGAAAGTGACCTTTAGACTTGAATTGAGTTGAGAAGTGACCTTTTGAGTTGAGTCAAAGGAAAAGTGACCTTTGATCGAATTGAGTTTAAAAGTGACCTTTAACTTGAATTGAGCGGGAAAGTGACCTTTTAACAGAAATTGAGCTGGAAAGTGACCTTTCGAGTTGAGTTGAGTCAGAAAGTGACCTTTGAGACCAGAAGTTGACTTTTGACTTTGAAAAGTGACCTTTACCAAAAAGTTGGAATTGACCAAATTGACCAATTTAAGTGACCTTTATGATCTGAAACTGACGAACGGTGACCTTTATCGAAGCGAAATCGAACTGAATAGTGGTACAGCGATATCAGCAGCTGTAGGATTTCATTCACTAACGTGTTTGGAACCGTAAAAGCCGTTTCGAAGTTTTGTCCGAAAGTGACCTTTTAGGGCAAATCTCTCGAACTTTTTACCGAAAAAGTGACCTTTACAAGGGACTTAGTCGAAATTTTTTCAATCGAAAAGTGACCTTTACAAAGGACTTAGAAAAATTTCGAAGTACGAAGTGACCTTTAGGACAACTGAATAAACCATACAATAACGTGTGTGTGAGAACAATTGGCAGGAGCGTCCAAGTTATCCGATCAACATGGACAAAGAGGAACCGACATCCACTAGCAGTCAGGGAAGCAGGAGCTCCCGGGGATCACAACAAGGCACAGTTGATCCTTATAAGAAGGAATACAAGTCGCTCGCGCGTCCAGTCGGACATGATAGACAGACCCGAGCGGCTGTGACCTGAAAAGGACAGCAAAGGCAGTGATAACACATACCAAGTGGCGCTTGGAGCTATACAGAACGAAGAGGGCTCCAGCGGTGACGGGAAGGAAACTCCCGCGTCTACGGCGGGAGGCAACCCGATGAACCAGACAAAGGTCACTGGGGAGGAGAAGTCCACAGAAAAAGGAGTGGAAGCAACGGGAGCATCACAGTTGGATGCTACCATTAGCGGAGTGACTGAGCAGGATAAAAACGTGAACCTGACTCATGCGGAAGCTGAAAAGTCAAAGGTCACCGAGGAGGAACTGGCTGAACTGGGACTGGATGACCTTTCACTAAACGATAAGACTGTCGGTGATGACCTTTGGGCAACTCCAATGGTCTCGGATGAATCGAATGAATCATACTTCACGGATGATGAAGCGACGATGAATATGTCCTTCCAGACTGCGATGAAAGAAGCTGACCGTGCTGAAGGGATGACATCATTCAAGGACATACCCGAGTACCTTATTGAACGGACACAAACAGGAAAGGTCATCAATGTTAGACCGCCATCACCGAACAGTCCCACAACGACTTTGAGGACTCGCGTGAGGGAGTTGGAAAGCGAACTCGAAGCCAAGGAAAGTCAGGCAATGAAACGAACAAAAGAAAACCGGGATAAGCTGTCGTCACTGGAAGCGCGAATTTATGAATTGGAACAACAACAAGTTGACCTGGAAAACGCAGCGGATGAATGGAAAATCAAATACGAACGTCAGAGAGAACTCGCGGAAGAATATTTGAAAATGGCAGATGACAGAGAAATGGAAGGTCATCTCGCGGTCGGTGACCTTAATGAGAGTATGTCAGAAGAAACAGCGGAAAGGTCACGGCACTTAGCCGAATTGAAGGACGAATGCGACTCGCTGAAACTAAAGGTCACCGAAGCTGAAACGAAAAGAGATGAATACGCAACAAAACTCGCCGATGCTACTCAGCGACTGTTGACGAACACCACCGAAGTCTTCAAGCTCAGGAATGACCTGAAGCTGCGCGACGAGAATATCGGGACCCTCCAGAAGGAGTCATACGATCACCAGCGAAGGGCTGATGAAGCCGCTAAGGTGGCAAAGGACTTGCGAGATCTTACAGCCACCGAAGGCGTACGGTTGAAAAATGAAATAAGACAGGTGATGGAAGAGAACAAGGCGTTGAAGGATGACAACAAGAAGGTCACTGAAGAGAATACCGAGTTGAAAAAGACTGCTAAGACAATCGCCGAGCAAGGCATGAGGTGGGAACACGAGGCACACCTCTTGGATGAAAAGGTCACAGTACTTGAATTGAAAGATAAGGAGTGGCAACAATCAGTCCACCAGAAGACGCAGGAGATTATCAAGCTCAACACGGAGCTGATTGATATGACCCAAACGGTGATGACAAGAGAAGATGAGGTCACCCAGACGAAAAACCAACTGAAAGCAGCAGTCGAGGAATACACGAAGCTGGAAAGGGATGTGACCCAGTTGGCGGAACACATTAAAAAAGTGGAGAATGACACTGAAAAGGTCGTTCAGGAGAAGACTTTCCAACTCCACCAACATATGTTAAAGGTCAAGGAGGAGAATCAGAACTTGAAAACGGAGAAAGAGGAAGTCCAGTTGAAAGTCCGTCGCCTTGAGGACGAGAATAAGGCGCTTGTTATGTCTAATAAGCACAAAGATGAACAGCTTCTGCAATATGGGGTCAGGACTTCAACAGTGGAGTCGCCCCCGCCCAGTTACAGCAAGGCGCACGAAACGGGCACGGGCAAAAGCTTCCACTTTGAGATGCCGCTACGAACCGGCACCGGTAAGGGAAGTGTTAAAAATGAAAGAGAAGGAGAAAAGGGCAAAGAAGACAAAGAGCCACCTTCGGAAAGTAACCCGCATATGAGTCGAGGTGACCCCTCACAATTTCCCTCGCATTTTGAAACAAACGTGTTCATCGATGAAGGGCGACGGGACAGACCCTCCAGCCGGCAGGAGCGTCAAAGGAAATCCCGTTATGGAAAAGCGAAACGAAATCAAAGTGACGATGCAAGTAGCGAAGAAGACGATGACCAGAGGGCAGAAAATACAGCGGTGCAATTGACAAAAGCACTCAACTCGATGGCTCGGAAAAACACACTCGTGACCTTTGACGGCAGTCGCGACACCGTGAATGGTTGGACAAGATTGGTAAAAGAAACGCAGAGAACCTACCAGCTCACCGACGATCAAATCATGATTGAGATAGCCAGCGCGGTGAAAGGTCCCGCCAAAACCTGGTTTGAAGGAGAAAAGGATATTGCATCAGAAGACGGAATTGAATATTCAGTAACGGAGTGGATGGAGAAGTTTAAAGATGAATACGGTGACCGAGACGAAGAAGTCTTAGGCTTACGTGAGGCCTATGCAAGGAAATTTGAACTCGGAAAAGAATCGCTTGACCAATACTATCAAGCGATGATGCGGTTTAAGGCAAAGAGAATCATTACTGAAAAACAGGCCGTGGGCTTCTTAATCGAAGGATGTAGAGTGGACAATGAACTCTACAAAGCCCTGCGTACACAAAAGTGCAGAACGCCAACCGACGTGAAGGACTTCTTCCGACATTGGGCAACGGGAGAGGAAAAGTACAAGGCGCCTAAAGGTCAACGTAACCAAGATTACGTGACGATCCGCCAAGGCCAGGTGGAGAATGTACCACAACAGAGAATGGTGGCTGCACCAGCCCAGCAGCAAATGGAATTCCGCGCGGAAACCCCTGTAAGAGAGGTCACCGAAAGAGTGACCTTTATCGATGGCCAGACGGGGCAGCCGATAACATACGCGATGGTGGCGGCGATACAAGCGGCGGCCCAAGTGAGGCCAGCACCCCAGAATGTGGCTCCACCGGCACCACAGAATGTGGCCCCTATGAATGTAGGATTACCACAACAAGGAGTGGGCAACGGAAATTTCGGTGGAAATGGTTATGGAAACGGAAACTGGAATGGAGGTCAAGGAAACTTCCAGAACCAAGGTCAAGGTCAAGGCAACTTCCAGCCAAACAGAGGGAATCAGAACAACTTCCAGCAGAATCAAGGGTCACGGACAGAATTCAAGTTTCAAATGATTGACGGATGGGTGGCAAACGGCGTACAGATGTGCCAATACTGTATGTACGGTAACCACCAGACGCAGGGATGCAAGTTCGCCACCACACCACCGGAACAGAACCCGAACCTGTTTGCCTTTAACGAGTGGCAACGACTGCGCGGGCTCGGTGGTTGGCGCCAAGCAGTCGCAAACGGATATGACCTAATTAGCCAATGGTATCAGCACAAAGCAAACTTCCCAAATCAACAAGGAAACGGGAATAATGGAAATGGCGGCGGCCAGAATGGTGGCTACGGCCGTGGTGGCTACGGCCGCGGAGGCTTCAGAGGAAGAGGCAGAGGCTTCGGCCGCGGAAATTGGAATGGCGGCAACCGAAATGGCGGAAACGGAGGTGGCCAAGGAAACTACCAACAGGGTGGTGGCCAAAATAATGGTGGTGGCCAGAGTAACGGAGGCGGACAAAATTATGTCCCGGTAAATAACGGCGGACAAGGAAATGTGCAAGGAAATGTCCAAGGCGCTCAACAAGGAGGTGCGCCGGTTCAGGGAAACGGGCAAGATCAGTAGGCACCGGTGAGCCTACTGATCGTCCCGACCCTAAACCACCGGATAAAAAGGGAACGGAAAGGTCACCACTGCAGAATGGTACTGCAGTGAATGTGACCACTGCAACGGCTATATGGATGCCGTCAGCGAAAAAGCAAAGTGGACCGGCTATATGGATGCCGCAACCACAAGAAACGGCTAGATGGATGCCGCCACAGCAAAGAGAGACGGCTATATGGATGCCGTCATCACAAAAAGGAAATGGAACGGTTATAGAGATACCGTCACAGAATCAAAGGTCACCGCAGAATGGTACTGCGAGTGGAAATGTTCAAGCGGACAAAAGGTCACCGCAGAATGGTACTGCGAGTGGAAACGCGCAACGGGACCAAAGGTCACCGCAGAATGGTACTGCGAGTGGAAATTGTCGTGACGGTAGCGCGACACTGCAAAAAGTGCAGCAAAATGAAAGGTCACCGTACTGCAGCGAGAAAGTGTTAGCTGAACGTCGTGCATTACGTAATGCCAAGATTCAACAAGCGCTGTTAAATCAAAAGAAACAGCAAACTGATACAGCAGAAGAAGTGGAAATGCACCACGAATGGTTCCGGAAACAGATAAATGAAAACGACAAGACGAATGAGCCAAGGTGCGATTGTTACGGGGAACCAAAGCCAAAGTTTTGGAATTGTTCAGAAGACGAAGAAGAGAAGCGAATAAGGCAAGAATGGATTAAGCAGAATATCAACGTTATTAGTAAAGATGAAAGGTCACCTTCTGTTGGAAAAGTCCAAGTGAAAGGTCACGGAGCAGGTGTGAACGCCAAAGGTCACGGCGACAGCGTCGTGTTAAAAGGTCAAGAAACAGACTTGACACTGCGAACAGCGCAGCAAAGGAATAATGAAACGACACAGAACTCCGACGACTCACTTGATGACGCGGCAACTCTGCAACAGAAGGAAAAGTGGCAAAAAGTGGCCTACAGACCGAATGGGAACCACGGGATATGGATACCCGTAACGCCGAAGGCAAAGCAGAAAGCGAAAATGTCACAAGAGGACTACTGGGACATGCAACAGTTGCGAACGCAATGTGAAAGAAAGCGACTAGAAGAGTTGGTTACCGGGAAACCAGCGCAAGGGTCACCGAACCCAGTCCCAGTATTCAATCCAGAGGAATATAAGAAGACATTCGCTGACTGGAACCATTCACGTAATGCTCCACCACAGGATAAACCGCCGAATTATGGAGAAAAAGTCCCCATACAAAAGCTGACAGGTGGCGGATTTGTCATGAGGCGCAACGAAAGGTCACAGGACTTAGCGCAAAATGAACAAAAAGGACGGTCAAATGAGATAGCGCAAACGCAACAGAGTAGCGCAGTTGAAAGGTCACGGGACTTATCGGAGGCACTGCAAAAGGATGCCAATGACAAGTCACCAGCCCGAACAGACGGAATGTCTTCACAAATCGATCCGACGAAAACGAACAATGAAGTATCTGCAAAAGTGATCGAATGGATGACCGAAAAGGGATATAATATGGTCACATATGAAAGGTCACCAGAGGAGATGAGAGACGGTGAAGAAGACGAATTGAAGCGAGCTGACCAAATAACAAGTGAAGTCATTGAGAAGCTGAGAGATAAGCGAAATGAAAACCGTAAAGAGGAACTGATTCATCAGACGATAAACGAAATGACAAAAGGTCACATAGCTGGCACAAAAGCAAACGAGCAAGTGCAAAATGCCGAAAAGGTCACCAGTAGTAAAATTCCTGAGAAGCAAACAGACAAGAAAAAGCCGCGAAAATTTTACAATGTTCGGACTAACGTTCCACATAGGATTGATAAGCTGAGCGAGATACTGAAAGGTCATAGCACTCCAGCAAAAGGACAAGTGCTTTCCGATATGGATCCGGGACCAGTATCGCTCATTCCTGTGAAATGTAAGATTCATACACTGAAGATTCAAAACGGAAAACTGCCCAAGAGAATTGAAGCGTACACACACGAAGTGAAAGTGGGAGACATAAAGGTCAACGCAATGCTGGACACCGGCGCTGAGACGTCGCTGATCAGCAAACCGTTTTGCGAGAAGAATGGACTTCACATGCTCCCATTGCCACCAGACAGATTGGTGAAAATAAATGGAATTAGTGGAACGTCAGGATTCCTGGTGACGCACTACTGCGTAGCACCAGTGACCTTAAGAAAGAAGACAAGCGAACATTCATTCTACGTCCGACCGAAATGTGATGACGTACAAGTGTTATTGGGATTTGACTTCTTGGAAAAGAAATTCGTACTAATGGATAACGAAGGTGAAGAAGAGAAAGAAGACGACCCAAAACCAGTCGCCAAAGTTCAAGTCGGAAAGGTCACCGAACTTGTAAAACAGACGGGAAATGCTCAAATGGTTAATAAAGCGCTAATCCCAGTACCAGAGGCACCGGGAAACGAAAAGAAAAAGATGACGCGAAAAGAACTGTCACCATTTGAGCAGTTGCAAGTAATCCAGCAGGAGATCGAAAAGACATTAAATCGGACCTTGCTGGCACAGAAGGGAAGAGAAAAGGTCATCCCAGTACCAGAGGCACCGGGAATGACAAAAGTGCAGCAGGAAGAAATTATCCCAGTACCAGAGGCACTGGAAACGAAAAATGAAAATGGAAAAGTCGGAAAAGTCATCCCAGTACCAGAGGCACTGGGAAAGGAAGACGAAAGGTCACCAGCAACTGAGAACTTGGAACGAGAGCGTAATTCGAACCTTTTCGAACCACGATCTGCTACCCAAAATGAAAGGCTTCCAGATAAAACCAAAGAGGAAGTAACAGAACGTGAATCTCAAAAGGAACCCTTTTTCGAACCACGACCTGCTACCGAAAGGTCACCAACACTTGAAGAGATAATTGCCACACAGAAAGAAGCGGCAGTTGCAGCGAAACAATCGCTTGTGTCAGACATGGAGTGGGCAAAGCCTATCCCAGTACCAGAGGCACTGGGAATAAAGACGGCCAAAGTGGGGAAGGATAAAAAGAGTGAAAGGTTACGAGTTTTGAAACGAATAGCTGAAGAGGAACAGATGTTTACAAGCGAAATCCGCGACAAGGCACTCGAACAATTGAAAGGTCACCAAACAGAAAAAGAACCAGAGGTCATCGAAATATCCTCTGAGGACAAAAGCGTGACCCCAATCGAATGTGAACAAGACGCAACAGCACAGGAAGAAGTTAGACCGCAAGCGAGCCAAAGGTCACTAACCTCAGACGAACGAGCCAGGAGTTGTCACCACGGCTATTTCGAGGATCCGTGCAGAGTGCAACCACAATGGGAATGCACGGAATGTTGTGAGAATGCCTCCCAAGATGACCTTTCAGAATGGCCAAGATGTAATGCCGCATTAGCAGACCTTAAAGGTCATGCCCAAAAGGAGGTAAAAAGCATCATGCGGACAAACGAAATGTGGAAACCACACATCGAACGGTATCATTGGAATAGATATCGAACGTGGTTGTCATGTGTGGAAAGTTTTATAATTGGAAGAGGCAGATGGCTAAACCATTGGTTGCAACGTGTCGAGAAAGGAATCCAAGATCCTCTCGATCCGGTAGCAACAGAAAGGAGATTTGAACGAGAGATAGAAGAAATGACCGAGGAAGGAGAAATGTGGGAAGAAGCGAGAGTTGATCTTTTCTGGGACTTCCGTGTGAACCACATGTATAAAGGTGAAGGGAGAACGATCATCTTCCCGGCAGGACTTGGTACACCTGTCTACGAATCACTTGAAGTGTACTACAACGCGTTAAAAGAAGGAAACGAAAAAGCATTCGAGAAATATTGGAAGAAATTCGAGGAAGAAATCCCCAAATTTGACGTAAAAGAAATGAGAGAACTACAGGTAACTCGGAAAAGAAGGTTACCGGGTTTGATGCAAAAGAAAAAGGTGACCTTTGCACCAGATCCAGACGGAGTGGACTACCCAGAACGAGGCGGCGATACATGGTGCATGTATGAAACGATTCCAAATGATGAATGGGTCACCGAAGAGCTGATGGCAAACTGCATCTTTGTTGGTCCTAAACGACCTAAAGGTTACGAAACAGTTCAACAGGATGAAACCAATAAAAGGACTGTCAAAGAAGCAGAGAAAGAGGAACCAGTTAAAGAGATAGCCGAAGGACAATCGAATGAAATAGAAGAAAGTTCGAAGTCGGCTTTCGATATCGCGCAAATGTTAACGGACAGAGGTGAAATGTGGAAAAGGTTTAAAGAGGAAGTTGAAAGGATATCGAACGAACAACAAAACCCAGTAACTGAGGCAAAAAACGGGGAAAGGTCACTCGATAACGGTGAGGAATGTCCGCCGGTCGAGTTGACCGAAAAGCCATTAACGAGCCGCGAAGAAATAAATGAACTGGAAAAGTCAAAATCGGACGAAGAAAGGTCAAACTCCGATCAATCAGAAAGGTCACCAACGAGAATTCGGGTAGCGAGGAGTCACCCGAGAGTAGCCGCACGAAATGGGCGAAAGGCAAAAGAAGGGGACAAACCCCCTGCTCAAAAATTCGAAAGTGAAAAAACTTAGCGAGTCGCGAGAAAACGAAAGTGACCTTTCATCAGAAGATGAAGGAGTTGATGAGCGTCCACTCGAAAAGGCAAACAAAGGTCAAGCCACTGCACAAGAATACGAGAGCAGTAACTCCGACTCCGAGTGGACGAGTTCAAGCGATAACTCAACAACTTCGGAAGATTCAGGTGTAAGTGACCTTTCGGAGCAAGAGGATTTAATGGACTTGGATGAAGATGACGAAGTAGATGAGGAAAAAGAAAAGGATATTAAAGTCAGAAGATTGAAAGTGGAAAAAGCTAGAATGTCGAAGGACGTGATCAAAGTTTACAGCGATCAGCGAATCAAATTGAAACCGTC